TATTCCAGAAAACAATGAAACTCTCTCTCTCCAAATAAAAGGCAAGAATGCTTCTCAATTTACCCTTAACCAAACACCCATAATTATTATCCCATGGCCCGTTTTATCATATGCTAGTGTATTCCATCGTATACCCTTCCCTAATAAACCAGACTCAAGTCTGGCATTCGCTCAATAAAACCCGTTCAACTAGACCCTGTCTGTTTCAAGTGATCAATGCCATCAAAAGACAATTACCAGGCGATGGCCAAAAACAGTTCCACAGTCCGTTCCCCGCTTTCCTTCTTCACCCTTTTCAGTGTTATGCCAGGCCCCACACCAACCCCCTCTCAAAACGAAACTGCAATGCCCAGCGAAGATAATGATCTTGCAAAAAGAAGACAAGCAACGAAAAAAAAAAGAATAAGCAGAGGCAGAGGGCAGCGAAGAAGGTAGACAAGCCATAGAGACCCAACATCGAGGCAAAAGCCAAACCAAAACAGAGACCAAAAGCCTAAAGATCGGCAATCGAGTGGCCACCACTTTGAACAGGTCTCTACGCGCTCCCCTCTCTGCGCTCCGTGCTCACACTCTGCACCCGACCGTCCATCCATCGACTGGACAGATACCGACCACCGTCCTCTGCGGCAATGGAAAACGAAACCAAAACGAGGCGAAAGCCCCGACCCACGAGCAGCAGCAAAAATGAGATTTAAAAATAGACACCGCTCATTAGAAATGGCTAAAAATAGGTAAACGGCAGGCCAGGCAGCATTAAAACGCTCAGGTAGAGTGGGGGGGGATTGGAGTGCATTAAGTGGAGTGTGGAATAAAGAGAGAGAGAGAGAGAGAGAGAGATATATGCAGAGGCAGCTCTCTAGATATGACGTATACGACACTGTGGACCAAAGAATCTGTTGGCATCTAGTTATCAGAGGATGGCACGGCCACTGTTACTGGTGCACTAGTTAAGTGGCTGTATAACAGGTATTGCAGGTACTCTCTGGTATGCCAGGAACGCTCTGTTCGTGGAACTTGTTGGGGGATCCTCAGAACAGAAGCCAACGAAATTGTACGACTGCAAGATGAGTCCGGAGATATGTATGTATGCAACGTGTTTTCCCAAAGAACGGCAAAGGGAATCGTTCATGATCTAATTGGGTGAAATATGAGATAAAAAATGTATAAAAATAAAAAACGGTCTCTAGGTAACAGTGTTCCGAGCCCTTACTTCTGCCCTTCTCTCTTACAGTCCCTTTACAGCTGAAGAACAAAACAGAGCAGAAATTCCTTTCTCCCAGAAAATCCCCTTGGCATATTTTGAGACAGACAAATATAGAGAGAGAGAGAGAGCTCAGAGAGCGAATATAATTTCAAACAATTTAGTCAAGTAAAGTTCCTTTCTGTTTCAGTGGCATTTCATTCTGTTGACAATGGACAAATACTCGTAGTTGTGTAGTTGTGGGGCTTGGGAGCGCAAAAGTCGAGGGAAACCCAAGGATCAGGAAGACGCGCAATATAAACGTTTGGGACAAGGTAAACGAAGTAAATTAAATACCAACAACTAAAAAAAGAAGAAAAGGTACCCCCCAACAAGAGGGGGACACTTGAGACTCGAGAGAGCCAAAGATTTTGATACCCTTTCCTTTTGAATATAATTTGGCAAAGTTTCGGTTGAATGTCTGTTCGTTGAATTATACACATATGATTTGGTTCATAAATGGATCGACTGAATGAATTACAAATATCGGCTTAACGTGTTAGTACCCTAACAAGAAGGATATAAACACAGGCAGCATAGCGACACCAAAAGCAGAAGGGAGATCCAACAGAAAGGCAGCAAAGAAGGCGGTCGGAAAAATAGCAAAAAAAAAAACAACAGGCCAAAGGCATGCGAAACAGCAGAAAGCACGGAGAAACCCAATAACATTAAAGCAAAAGAATTTCTGTTCCCTTCCCTACTTGGAGCCCAAAAGGATGATGATGGTGATGGGCAGGCGGCCAGGCATGCCTGCTGTTGCTGTCAGCGGCGGTTGGGGGCTGAAAAACCCGCTTACAGCAGCAAGAAAAAATCAAGCAGCAAAAACGCCAAGGCAAGCAACGACCTTGATAAGTTTTACAACAGAGCAGGCAGCGGCAGAAGTAGAGGCAAAGAGTGAGATTTTGGGGTGGGCGAAGGGTAGAGAGCGTACGCCAAAGGAAGAGCCAAACGAAGGAGCTTCACTCATCTCTTTCTCTCTCTACCACAATCGATGTGCCCCCACCAGTGTGGTGGGTTTCGTTCTCTTTGATAGCGCTCTCTTACTCTCTCTCCCTCTCTCTCATCAACAAGTGTCACAGCTGTGTCTTGATGGGGCAGGGGGGGTTGACCTGTTCCTAACTCAATTCGGTTTTTTGTGTCTGTGTGTCACAAAAAATGTTCTCTCCCACTCTCTCGCTCTCTTTTACTCTCTTTGATAAACAGTCTGATGAGGTGGATTTTTTTCGTCTTCCTCTTTCACAGCTTGATTATCATATTCTGCGTTTTATTATTGAATTTCTTGCTCTCCCTCCGTGAGTGTGTAAATGTGTGTGCGTATGTGTGTGTGACGCATGTGTAAAGTGCGGCGCAGATATTGATATAACCCGTACCCCAATCCTTATCTCCCCCACCCTTCTGTTTCGAATGCCCGCCTAGAATGCCTTTCCGACAGTTAGTCTAACAAATTTGTTTGTTTGTTCGTATTATTACTCTACCATTTTCCTATTCTCATCTCTCTCTTTCCCTGGCAGCTGCCAAATCAGCTGGTGTTCATTCGCAGAGGTCCAAGCAAATATAATTAAAATTATTAAATTATTTCAACACACAATATTGACAAACAACAAACAGAAAATAAAGAGAGGAAACCCGAAAAGCATGTGCTCGAAAGCTCAAGATGGAAAAGTTTTGCCACAAATTAATGCAAAACTCGGATAGCAACAAAAACAACAAAAGGTATTGTAGACAACCCGCAACGTGCCTGAAATTTTAACAACAAATTGCAATATCAAAATCAACACGGAACAACAGCCACACCGTTTCATTAAGTTGCATAGGCGCTGCACTTGCAACGGCCAGGCCCAAACCGGACTGCAAGGCGGCCCCGCCCCCCTTGTAACTCACACACACACACACATATATATTTGTATGTAGTATATATTAAAGACAAGAGACGACGCCTAGTTGAGCATTTTGAACGACAACGGCAGCAGGCAACAGCAGCAGCAGCAGCAGCAGTGGACAAGCCATAATTTATCGGGCCTGGCCGACAATATTAAAAAAAAAAAAAAATGAAAATGAAAATTCCTCAACAGCAAGTTGCCGGCACAGGAGATCCTTAATGTGCAACAACATAAACAACAACATGCCATATGGGAAAAGACACAATCAAAAGTAGACGAATCTTTACATACCCTCCCAAGCAGCAGACATACAATTTACACGATTTTGGCTACTGTTTTGTCCGATAATTCCTATGGCCACTGATCACTACTATATGAATTCCTGAAGAATGCACACTTAAAATTTCATGGGATAAGATTTTAAACCACACCGATAAATATTCTTTCCTATATTGCTGCCATTCAAATTATTATTTTAGACAGGTACAAGAGTTTTTAGCAATCAGTTTTTAGTTATCATTGAAATGGCATTTCTGCATTTCATTTGGTTGTTTCCTAATCTTCAGTCTTCCAAAAAGTATTCACATATTCCAGAGAATTTCAAATACAAATTGAACAAGTAAGAAACTTGTTTCCCTCTCAACATTAATTCGCATATTTTTACAAATTATATTAGAACTCACCGGACACATTTGTATGTATGCACATACATACATTCATGAGATATTAGAACCAGAAACCAGCAGCAACAAAATATTTCGTGTACTGCGAAAACTTGTTTTATTTATGTTTGGTTTTGTTGTTTCTGCGGTCACTTGTAAGCTTATTGAACAATTATTTTGTGGGGAAAAAAAACAAAGATGGAAATGTTAAAATTTCAGCTGAGCGAATCGTGGTTACCCTATAATTAGTGTTGATTTATGGGCTGTACTGTAACTAAATGGATGACAAGATCAAGGAGGCACTGTCACTCCGGAGGTTCCCGCGAGCTGGATCAAGAGCCTCACATGGGAAATAATGAAGTGCGCTCAGGATTTATGAACTGCTTTGGAGCTCAAGTCAACTGCTTGCTAGTAGTACAATACATGTAACAAAATGCCGTTGGTTTCGGTAAAAGACATTCGTGTCTTGCACATTTCTTGCTGTGAAGATTTCAACTCATTGCATATGCCCCTAAACAATATTACCGAACTTCTAGGAAATATGTACACGGTACATATTTTAACATTGCAAAATGATGAAGTCAATTTTAAAACTTGATTGGGTACAATTAATTAGCAGAGGAAAACAGATTTTCCACATGCATAATGGAAATTTTACACTGAATCTCTTGCATGGAAATAATTCAATTAAAATAAATTAACGAAATTGAAAAATCCCCAGAATAATTGCACGATATTTTGCGGGGAATTTTTCGATCATATTTATCCAATTCTGGTTTCTCTCAATGTTTTTCTGGAGAGGGAGAGAATGAAATGCGAATGGGAAGGCAATGCCCGGCACTTTAGTGTAAGCTTCTTAGTCCCACTATCAATTGTCGTCGCCTCTCCGCTCATTGAAGCTCATCAAGAGGAGAGAGAGAGAGAGCAATAACAGAGAAGAGGGTGGAGAATGGAGGGAGGACAAAGACAACGACAGCCATAGCGACATCCACTTAATTCTATGCTGCATTTGGATAAATCAACAACAATTCTATTAAGCTCAACAACAAAAGAGGGCAGGAGAAAGTACCAGGCAGGCGTTGGGGGGAATCGGAAAACACCTTTCCAAGCACACTGCAACGTGTTGTATAGCTCTCTCTGTCGCACACAACTTACAAGAAATGCAAGCCAAACAGAAGACGAAGAAGACGAGGGAAAAAAAAGCTGAATTCAACTTACCGTCCGCACAAGTTCAAGGCCAAGTGTTCAAGTCCCTCCCTCTCTGGCCTGGCGCTCTCTTGTTTCCACGCTCTTTCTGTTTTCCTCTCTCTCTTGGCGCACTGACAGAGTGTGTTTACACTGTACATAAAAAATAACTTTACTTTCGTTTTCTAAGCCAGTAGTTGGGGGGAGAGGTCGGGTGGTTGGGCGGCTGCCCCGCATTCACTCAAACTGCAACGGTAGTTATGTTGTTATTGCTGTAAGGTCACTCTTTGATTGGGGGCGCCCCTCGTTTCTCAACGCTTTATCAACAACAAATAGGGATATGGGGGAATCTTGCACTGAGGGGAGCTTCAGGACCGACTTTTGTAAATTAATTAACAACATTCCCTCGCACACACGCACACATACTCATCATTCGAGCGCGCGCGCCTCGAGATAAGAGCAGAGCAATTTATTTGCAGTAAAATTTACGTTTTGCGCGCTGACAAACCGAGAGGGGCACTGGGGGGGTATGTGGGAGAATTCACCACACACTCTCTCACACGCAAACCGACGTAAGCGCACGTTTTCGCAAGATATGAAATCTGTGGTTCAAACTCGGGCCTATTTTTGACACTCAACGAAAGTTTACAGCTGTTAGTCGAATATTTATACGTTTTCAAACTTGCTCAATGTAATTAAATGGAACTATAGGGCAACAACAGCCCTGGCTGGCGACAACAAGCGAACACATAGCCAGTGACCGCGAAATTATCGAGAAATTATCACGAAACTACCAAAATATACCATGGCATCTTCAAATGATACCGTAAATATACCTTTAGAGCTTAAAAATATACCGATTAAAATCAATACTGTAAAATTTGATATTCTGTTTAATATTACTAGCAAGCTAAGACTCTCTGTCTTGACCATATAATTTATTCCTATTGATGAACCAACTGTGTGTGGGCTGAGAGCTAGCTGCTAGCTTGCTGGTAAGATCAATAAGAAAACTCAACTCAATTAGATTTCTGATCATGCAGTTAAGCTTTTAGTTCAACCTTGTCTAGGTCACACACCTTGCATTTTTCTTGTCTTTAGTATATTTCCAATGCAACTCCAATGTTTGATTAACCCATGAAAATGATTGAACATTAAACATTATTTAACAAATGGCCATGATTGAACAACCGATTGAACATTATTTTGCATGAAATTACTTACACGAATGAACATGATTGAACATCTGATGTAACATTATTTAGCATGAACATACATGAATGAATATGATTGAGCAACTCAAAAAACTTGACCATTAATCATCATGGTATACATAATATTGGGATTTAAAATAGCTCTAGTACATATATCGTTATCATTTGAACATTTTTCTTATTATTCTAATTTGATTCTTAAATTACAAGTGAAGATTAGCTTTCAGGGCACTGAATTCATGTCGGTCCAGTGCCTTGATGTTGGTGCCCGAAAATGGCGATTTGAACTCCAGGTCTCGATGCTTATTTACCAGCACCTTTTGCTTCGAGTAAATCAGATTTATCTCCGTGTCTATCTGCTGCTGATCTGCAGGAATCATTGCATTAGATCGAACCAAAGGAATGAAGGTACTCTACATACCCTTCTTGAGCAGCTCCACCGCCTTGTCCTTGGACATTTTCACCAGCATGCTGCCAATGGTGATCCATACCTTCTTTTCATTCGACTTCTCCACGAGACGCAATGCCTCCCGTGTAGCTTGGCGCCGCTTGTCCAAAACCGTCAGCTCGTGCTTGTTGGCCAATATCTTGTCAGCCAACTCCTCCGTCTTGGTGATTAACTCTATGCTTTTATCCAATTCGGAGTTGGACATTTTGAATAAAACAAAAAGGGACGATTTTTATAAACAAAACTGAAAAGTGTGACCACAGCAAATGCGCAACTGATACGCTAACGCGTGCCGAACAGCTGGATCTCATGCAACACAAAAAATGTAATTAAATAGTTTTCTTGCACATTTGTTTCTGAGATCGAACCACCCCCCATCCCACTAGACGTATCTGACAGACAAGTTACTTAATTAGTTAACTCGCAATGCATTCCATGGACGTGAGCAGATGCTGCAGCGTCATCTTCCTGCTGGCCTGCTTCTGCTTCCTGCAACAGACGCATTCAGAGGTAATTAATTCTTTGAGTATTCCAGGAAAACGAGATCACCGGATCACCTGTGTAAATTGGTGCCGTCCAAAGTGCGTAAAATAGGCCACATATGCTTGCCAATTGATTGTACGGAGTGTGTGAGTGTGGGTGCCTGCTGTCTGGCTGTGTGCGTGTGTATCTGTGTGTGTGTGGGGGTTTTGTGCAATTGCTCCCGTGGCAGATTGTGATCCCCACATGATTGTGTGCATACCTAACTAATCTCAAACAACCTTTCCCAGAGTCAAAGTTCGCCACGTTATCTGCAAAACATTGACATCGGCAGCAACGCCAGCAACAACAACGAAAGACTGCAGCAGATCCTGAAGGGAGCAGGAGCGGGCGCCACGCAAATCAATTGGCCAACACGCTCCAAGCAGGGAATACCCGACATTAAGACTGAGTTAGCCAAACTAAATACCAGTAAGTGCATTCTCGATCCCGAAAGGACATCCGTGCTAATCCCTTTCCCCTCCACAGCCTATATCTACCAGAATGCCTGGCCAGCGAACAATGTGAAGCTGGGCGCTGTGACGGCCGTGAGCTTCGACAAGGCCGGCAATGTGGTCATCTTCCATCGGGTGGACCGCATCTGGGGCCAGGACACTTTCGACAATGCTAATCAGTATCGAGAAAAGTACCGCGGGCCCATTCGGGAGAGCACTGTACTGGCCCTGGAGCCCGCCACCGGCCGCGTGCAATACGATTGGGGCAAAAACTTGTAAGTCCTGAAATATTTCCATACCCATGGATCATCTTATAGCAATATTTTCCGGTTTTGTGCAGCTTTTACATGCCACACGGCCTGACCGTGGATCCCGACGACAATGTCTGGCTGACGGATGTGGCCATGCATCAGGTGTTCAAATTTGCGCCACGTGGCGCTGGCAACAAGCCCCTGCTGACGCTCGGAGTGGCCTTCCAGCCAGGCTCCGGCAAAAAGTTCTGCAAGCCCACCTCTGTGGCCATCCTGGATAACGGGGACTTCTTTGTGGCGGATGGCTACTGCAATGCCCGCATCCTCAAGTACTCCAAGTCGGGCGAGCTGATACTGCGTTGGGGCCAGAACTCCTTTGCCGGCGTCTCCTATGACGTGGCACCGCAGAACTACTTTGCCATTCCGCATGCCCTGACTCTGGTGCCAGAGCTGGAGCTGCTGTGTGCCGCCGACCGGGAGAACGGACGGGTGCAGTGCTTCAGCTCTAGAAACGGCACATTCCACTCGCAGTACCACAATCCACTGATTGGCGATCGACTGTTCAGCATGGCCTATACCCCGGCATCAGGTGGGTAGCTCCTCGAGTCGATGCTTTATCTGTCTACAATCTCTTTTTGCTCTCGCAGGTGGAGAGCTGGTCATTGTCAATGGCCCCAGTGCAGAGTTGGGCATCCATCCGGAACACTATAACGAAGTCCATGGCTTTGTGATGAGCATGAGGAACCGGCAATTGGTGTCCAAATTTGGGCCAAACAATTTGGAGTTCCAGAATCCACACGATGTGGCCGTAACAGCCGATGGCAATGAGATTTATGTGGCCGAACTAAATCCCATGCGTATCCACAAGTTCTTGCACAAATCGATGGCCAAGCCCATGTCACTGTCGGCCACAAAAGAGGGCAAAAGCATTGGCGATGTGCCCGCCGAGACACTGGCAGCGGAAGTGGACCCAAGCCAGACGGCGGCGACGACGACGACACACCATCCCAGTGGCAAGGCCGTGCTGGTGGCCTCGCTTATGCTGATATTTTCTGGCTCCACCTTTGCGCTGGCCCTGATGATGGCCAGGCGGCGGAAACGAGGTAATGAAGCCATCAACAATCAAGCGGCCCCGCCCAGCGATCTGGTCTACCGCAAGCTAACTGCATCCAACCAGAGTCTGTGCTAACAATCTCAGTACATGCAGTACACATATCCTAATCCCAATCACACTCGCTCAATGTCCTAAATGTAATCGTAGTTGTGGTGTTCATTCGTAACCGATTTGTGCACATATATACATGCATCGTTGTATCTATATTAATTGATATTTATAATTTGTAATGCATTTAATTTTAAGTTGATTTCCGGCCGCACAAGTATTCGAATGCTAAACCCATACCTTATGCCTTTTTGGTGCTTTCTTTTTTATACAAAATATACAATATACAACACAAAGCCGACAGACTAAACAAATTCCTCTCCTCCTACACTTTATACAATATACAATGCAAACATGTTTAAACATTTAAGTGCGTTCTGTTTTCGTTTGATTTGTTTGGTTTGTTTCAGTGCAAAATGCAAGCAATTAATCCACAAGAGCGCATGTAAGATAAGATCTGTGTGCCATGCATGATTTAAACATTTAATGCTCTAAAAACTCATTCAAAATCAATGATTTATAACATTCGCAGGTTGCCTGCCGTTTGGTGCACGCAGTCGGCGACATGCCTGGGAGAAGGCAGAGGGCTTCAAGCTGGGCGGACTGTTGGACAGGGATCGCAACGGGTTCGAGAAGCTCGACCAGCAGGCCAGCGATGAGGAGCAGGAGACAAGCACACTGTCGAGTGCCGCCGCCCCATACGCCTAGGCAGCAGGACCAAGACTTATGTACATCTAACTGAAGAATCATTCCTAGCCTAGTTCTAGTTCTAACTACCTGTACCTCACTTTTACACTCTCTTTTATACCATTCTCCGATCGATTTAAGTTCTCCCCCTCGAGATCACTTGATTTCAGATGTATTCTTATGCATTTTCTAACTGCGATTGAGCTCAATCCTTTTGATTTGCCAAACGAAACAGGAATATATTGATTGTAGCCTTATGAAACTCCATCGGATCTTGTGTGTGTGTGTTTGTTTGGTTTTATTGTTAGTCTACGATGGTTAGACTACGGGAAAATTAATTTAAATTCGTTATAAATACGTCGGTGTGTATCGTATATTGCAGTTTATCCACTAATAAGGCCCCGTTGCGGCACATTCTTTGCTTCTGTGCATCAAAGATTCTCTCAAGATTCAAGTTGTGTGGTTGGAGGTCAGACAACTTCGGCTAGAAAGCCCTCGTTCTCCTCCGTCACAATAGCGTCGATGTTGTAGAATATCGCGTGGGAGGCTATGACAAAGCAGGAGGCGCCCAGTGTCCAGAATAACACTGCGCCCGCACCCACCAGAAACAGCAAAGGCGTCGCTCCCAGATTCACGGCAATAATCTGTTGACGTGGCGTCAACTGGTTGCCCATCACGGTGATGTTTGTGTTGCGTGCACGCAGCCTGTGGCACAGCAAGGCGGCACCCCCCAGCACAAACAATATAAGCGGCGATGTAATGCTGTAACATTGGGAGACAAAAAGTGTTGACAAAACTGCTACTGCTGCTGTTCATCGCGTCAAGATACTCACAGGCAATATATCATCAGCACAACGAAGACGAATATGTAATTGCTCTGGAAATAGGAGAGATTGCGCTTCAGGCGCCCGGTCAAGCGCTGCATGCTGACGGCCGTCTTAAAGTTCTGCACATTGAAGAAGACTGTCCAGGGGCGCATGGAACTGCGGACCAATTGAATGAGCTCCAGCGGAGAGGGCAAGCTCTGCAGTTTGGGCAGGCTTCATGAGAAGGAACAAAGTTTGAGCATATTTTAGATAAGAGTAAAGTAGAGGCCTTACCTGTTCAGATCAAAGGCGAACCTGCCACCACCTTCTTGCGGCGGCACTTGCATGTGTCCGCCCATATCAACGTTTGTTTGGGCCATTTCGAGTACCGATTTTGATCTCGTTCTGTCCTTAAACTGCTGACAGTAGCTTCCGATTTGGTGCTATGGTTGTATCGTTTCTGGCTCGAAAGATATTCACTTATCTCACCGTGTGGGTGTGGGTATGTGTGTTCGTGGATATTCTTCACTTTCGTTGCGCTTCAGAATTGTTTTTATCGGCGACGGATGCTGCGGCAAAGAGGAAACAAAACTCTCGGGCGCTGACGTGTTTAGGTCAAGTCGAAGGGCCCACTACATCGATGTGAAGAGAAACAGACACACACAGCCTCTTCTCTTACTGCTGGCTGACACTTTTAATTTGTTGAGGCTATTGTTTTAAATGACATATTTAAATAGCAAAGTTAACTTGAGTAAAAATTTATAATTCGTTCGTTCGTCTTTTTCCTTGGTATATTTTGGGTATATTTAGAAAATGACGGTATATTTGATAAAAAATATCAGCGATCACATTATTCAAAATGATGTTCAAATAACATATTTAGCTTTATTTAATCGTCCATCGTGGGAGTAACTGAGACGGAACAAAAGAATCTCCCTGTGAAGCCGGGCAGAATATTCACCATTACGATAAGTGAGTTTTGAGTACTTGTTGTATTAAACGTCCCAAGTCCGCAGTAGACTTCGGGAAGCAGCGTGAAACCTTTCCTTACTGTCATAAAGGCTCGTGTGCACAGTCCCAGGCCCTAGGGAATAAATGGCAATTGAGTAATGTCTTCGGTTAATGGGACAATTTTCACCGATGGAGGCAGGTCAATAAAACAGTCAAGCACGAAGATTCCATCAGTTGGCTTTTGAGCATGGGCCCTAAAGATTAATCCAGCTGGGCTGGTATTACCGGAAAATTCAGAATTATAAATGTAGTAGGTAGGTCCAGGTATTACATATTGAAATAGATCCACAACTTTTGGCAACTGAGCTGTAGAATTCAATGCCTGGTGGATTATAAGAAGACTGCAAACGATTACTTTGAGGCAATAAGACATTTTGAGCAGACACGATTTGATGAGGCTATAAACCAACTGAAATGCCAAGTCCTGAACTCCCCAATTTATACTTTCATTGGAGCTGATAATTCAATACAGCTATGCAAATATGAATATTTTTGAATTAAAACAATTAATGATAATATAAATGGACCGGGTGTTGATGCAAAGTTCACTAACGTCGATGCAGACTTGTTGACTTGAAGCAAATTTAAAATATATATAAATATACATATGAATTGTATTCAACGACTTTGAGCCTTGCAGAAAACCTAGACCCAAACAGAAACCTAGTTATATTACATCGAATTTCAAAATTGACGCACATTCGTTGGGATTCGGTATATTCACGGTATTTTTTAAAAATGAGAAGGTATCTTTTTAAGTGTCATGCGGTATATTTGATTCACGCAGTCACACTTGCTGATATCTCCGATTTTTTGGATTTAGAAAATTCCCGAAATTATAGGCGCTGCTGGAACGGTGTGATATTTTGTGTGAACACAATTTGTACGAACAGGCAACGGGGCAAATCCACTTGGACACATAGTAAACATACAGCGATGGCCGACGACTGGGGTGAGTGGTGTGGGACGAGTGGGCGTCGCTGGTGGACAATAAACGTGGTCGCTTCGGTGCCATGGCATGCCACCAACCTTGATGCGTATTTTTAGCCAGTCTACTACGCTAACCGTCCATATTTCACGTTTCTTTAATTTTCGCCCATGATGTGGCACCCCCACAGAATCCGCAGCGGACAGTGAAGTCATACTTCAAAATGCAGCCAGCACCGTAAACAAGTGGGAGGGAGAGGACGACGACGACGATGTGAAGGTGCGCATACCAAGTAAATCATTTGACAAGCAATTCATCCAGCAAACAACAACAAGAATGCGCAACGAAAGCAACAATCGAAACTTGTTTTCGTGCGCTCTGCGCTCTCTGCGCTTTTGTTATTTAGTTTTCACTTTCATTGTGGCCTGAACACGTGTACACTTTTGATTTTTGATTACTCACCATTGATTGTTCACTCTGCGGCTGTAGGAGAGCTGGGAGGATGAGGAGGAGAAGAAGGACGAGGAGAACGAGAAGCCCACAAAAACAGATGTGCCGGTGAAAACCAAGCCAAGCAAAGCGCTCAAAGCCAAACTAGAAGAACAAGCGGTAAGCAGCCGAATCTTAAACTCTAATCCAATAACTGCATTTTTTCCCTCTGGCACACAGCGACTTGAAGAGGAGGTGGAAGCGAAACGGCTGGCCAGCCTCACACCCGAGGAGAAATTGGCAGAGAAGCTGCGGCTTCAAAAGATCCAGGAGGACTCGGATCTGAACCACGCCCTCGACACATTCGGAGTGACGCGGGCCGAAACGAACGGCAACGGCCTTGACGCCTTCAACCCGGAAACCAAGGAGCAGTTCAAAGAGTTCGGCTCAGCGCTCAGCTGGAAGGTGGGCCAGTATCGCGAATCTGCCGATTTTCCCCAGTTCGTCGAGGATTTGGTGCGCGGTCTATGCATACACTGTGAGTGATTGTCGGAGAATTGCGGTCTACGAAATGATAACCTGAATTTGATTTGCCCCTTATCAAGTGAGTGCCGCTGACATTAAGAAGGTCAAGATGAGCGTGGAAATTTTGCACTCGGAAAAACTCAAAATGGAGAAGGCCAGTGCCAAGAAAGCTGCTGGCAAGAACAAGGGAAAGGCCACGCTTCGAGCAGAGACCGATGTATGTTCACGACACTTTGAAGAGGTCCCAAAAGTCGTCACTAATTGGAACTCACCCTTATTTCTTTTTTGCAGGATATTGATGACTACAAGAAGTATGGCAATGATTTCTCCGAAGATTACGATGACTTTATGTGAATAAGCGATAACCGAGTATATATATATAGAGTTACCCCCAGTCCTGCATATATCTAATTATTGAATACATAGTTGCTTGTTGAAGAGTTCTTCGTGTTAAAGAAAGTGCGCAGGAATTAAAACACTTGTTGGTTATGAAAGTATAAAACAAAAGCTAAACGAATATATATATATATATATATCTATCTTCCTGTACATATATATATTTATATGACCCTACCAAACATATAGAGAGCATCGGTAGACACATAGAGAGAGACACACATATACATAGATATACTAGCATACGGTCAAGTCAAGTAAAGCAATCAGATCAGGAAACCCTCAGCCTCGAAACCTCTTTCGAACATGCTAAATCAACAGATTATTTAGGAACAAACAAATTACAACATTTACCCTTGGCAACTACCAACTAGGAATGGCTTCTTGTAAAATTCACCTTTGTATAAATAAAACATCATTGCGATATTAAACTGATTTCAATTGTTGTTTTAATCTCAATACGGCGTCTTTTTGTGTGATTTTATCTTGGTTTTCAGCTTGCCACTGCTGTTGCCCACATTTCCAGTGCCATCCTGTGTCCACACGCTGACAATCCCGCTCTCGCCGCCCGTCACCAGCAACTGGCGCTTAGCATCGAAGAGGCTTTCTCGAACGATTTGCTTATTGCCCTCGAAATTGGCCAACGGGTCAAGTTTTTCCTTGGATGTGACGCTCACAGAACGCAGGATCTCGCTGCAACGGGGAAGTTATCAAACGAGGAACACACAAATTGAAGCGTTAGAACTCACCCGCGGTTCAAGTTGGTGCCAGCCAGGAGGAACACGCCATTGTCCTCCAGATTGTGGGCATTTATCAGGTTGAAATTGCCGGCATTCTTGCGTCGAATGGCCGCGGTGACATCGGAGCGTTCAAAAGAGGTTACTTCGTCGCCCTCCTCGCACTCGTAGCTCTTGAAATCATTCGTATGGGTGATGCACGAGATGATGTCCTTGTCGTAGACATTGCGGTGCCAGTTTAGGCGGTGCACACTGCTCTCCGTGTTGATGGTGCTCTGAAGGGCCTCCTCCTCGTCGGACTGCTTGATGTCAAAGACATTGATAAGGCCATCAGTGCCTCCGGTGCAGAGCAGATCTGGATTTCGATCGTGGAAGCGCACTGAGGTCACGTCATCCTCGTGGCTCTCGTGGTAGCAGCCCAGCTGCTTGCGCTCCCTCACATCGAAGAACAGCAGGTGGACAAGGCCGAGATACTGCTCTGTGCCGCAGCAAATGACTCTGCCATTGGCATTCCGCTCGAAGCAAGTCAGCGATTTGGGCACCTGTGGCATTTGTGCCGCTGGATCGCTTTGGTACTCGAATCTGGCCTGCTCCCCAGTGGTTCGGAGATCAAAGAGACGCACCACTCCATCTGTGGTGCCCACAAGCAGGTTGTCGGAGCCCTCATCGAGGAACTGCACTCCACAGGTGACAGCGCCCGTTAGCGGCTTTTCCTTGGCGGGTATTTCCTGAAGGCTTTTCAGTCCTCCGTCCTCCTGCAGATCGTAGATGTGAATGGCTGTGCTGGACAGACCGGCTGCTATCCGGGTGAATCTCTGGTCTGCACATAGACTGAGTATATAGTCCCGCTTCAGCGACACCACCGATTCATCTTGCGTCTTGTACTTCAGCCGGAAATTGGCAGCAAGCTCTTTAATGCCACAGGTGTCCTCGTCCTCGATGTCTGCTTCGTCCTCGGAGCTGGGCAGGTCCGTGGTGATAGCCTCTGTAATGCCAGAATGTTTAATAGTCCCCAAGATATGGTATTATCGCTCACCTTCCAAATATTTGTCAAAATCAGTCATATTCCTTTTGTTGTGGTCTTCGTTCCGGCACGTGCGCTGGCTATCGATAAATATACAGAAATATACCCTTTTATTTTCAAAATATACTGTAAATATACAGTAAATAGAAAATCATTTTCCCCTAATTTGATCTTCTGTTTAAGATTACCAGCTGGTTAGGACTCTCAGCTTTAAAACTGTAATTTACTCAAATCATCCTTTAATTCTTCACAAGATTGGTTGATTTTCATGACTTAGTTTTTTTGGATTGATTGCAAAATAAGGCTAAAACTAAAAAGGCCAACCAAAAAAACACACTAGAGTGTAGAATGGGTGAAGAAAAGAAGAGCGACAATGTTCGAGGCTGTGCTGCCACATAGCTAGAAATTATTGTTCTACTGTCAGAGGCTCGCTGCGCTGAAATCGTTGGCCTAATAACGTTACGTTATTGAGGAAAGTAAAGTGCTGCATACCGCCGAGGCATGTAGCACAGAGAGAGCAATGACATGGAACATAGCAACTACATCGGATGTTACATTTAAATTTGGGAGGAAAAGATTTGTCATTTTCATTTTGAATTAAAATATGTAGTAAAAAAGCCAATGCAGAACACTAAAACCAATCCTATGCCTATGGGGCCAGGAAATCTTCAATTCCTTCTACAGGACTGTGTTATAATACCATCCTCATGATGCTGATAATTTCGTTCCCATCTTCCCATTGCCAGCGTATTCAGTCACAGCAAGCTCCGTTCTGTTCAGTAAAAAAGAACTAAAATTAGCACATCCTCAGAGCAGATAAACGCATCCTTAGAACTGCCTTTTACCACTCACAGTCCTTCCAGCCAGTCCTACATCACCCATGGAGAGTGTAGCCCAATTAGTGCTGCAGTAGGCATTTCAAATCCGTGCCCACAAATCGTCTAATCCACTGCCACTGACCTCTGCCGCTGCCTGTACCGCCCATGTCCCTTCCGTTCCACTTCGTTCTGGTGTGCTCGGAATCGGATCGGATCGGATCTGTGCCTAGTCCTGGCTAAATGTTGACAAATACAACACCTACGATACAAATAAAATTGCTACAGAAGTACCACCTAAAAACGGCAACGGCCACTGCGAGCGGAACGATTCAATTTTCACAAATTTACGCCAAAACCAAGAAACAGAAATGGAAACACAGAAACAGAAACAGAAACTAAAAGATAGCTCGACGCCGCCACTGAAGCTGTGGGTTTGCTCCTGCAGAGCAGCAGAGTCCACACATTCGTATCGGAGTCGAATCCCAGTCGCAGTTGCTGAGTCGCTGAGTCGCTGAGTCGGAGAGTCCTGCGAGTAGCCAGAGTCCTGTAGCTCACTCGAAAACCGCCACTCACCGTGGCTAATTGCTCATCAATAAAGGTCCTCGCTGTGCAGGGCTCGGATTCCATTGAAAATTTGTTTGCGATGCTCCTCTGCCCGCTGCTCGCTGCTCGCTCTTCTCCATGTCCGTTGCAACCAAAATATTATGGTGTTCCCCGCTGTTCTCGCACAGCCAGCGCGAATTTGCTGCGGTAAGTCGATGCTGCTTTTGGGCCTCGACATCTCCTTCTCCTTTGGCCTTTTGCACCAGTGTTTGTTTGTGTGTAGCATCTCGTTCTCTCTCTCTCTCTCACTCTCTGCCTGTGTCTCCTTTGGCGGCACTGTGTCCTGTCGTCGTTGTTTTCTTGTGATTTGACATGTCTGTTAGCAGGATGCCTATGGGCCATGCATGACCCTGAGCCAGAGGACCCTATGTGTTCCACTTTGATGTGATTCGTCAATGCGGTGGACTACTGCTACCGACTCTTGGCACTCTGTGTCCTGTGTGTCCTCTGGTCTTGCATTTTCTGCAGTCTGCAGTTTGCGGCTTTCCAGCAGGGTTTGTTGGCGAATCTATCCCTTGGCTGGTGGCCCCTGCTGTTGCTGTTGCTGTTGCTCTCCTCCTGCCAAAAGTAGAATTTGTCACAGATGGAACTCGATTGGCTGCCCACCGCACCGCTCCGCACCGCTCCGCACTGTTCTGTATTTATAGTAAACGTGCACAATTGATTGGCCACCCCAGTGGAGGGGGAGCTTCAACTTCAACTTCAACTCCATAGCCATAGCCATAGCCATAGCCTTGGCCTTTTTCCAACCCCACTCTAGAGATGGTTTTCCCTCCATTGATAATTGCCTGACTGCCAACCAGGATCAGGGACTTGCCTGAGGATCATCTTAAAAAAGAAACCGCTAATCATTTCGCACACACAAAGCGGCAACAATCCACTGGCCAAGCCTAATTATTTGACTCAATTGTGAGCCGCGGGCTCGTGGACACTTTTTGTGGCCTCTTTTTGTTCCCCGCTCCGACACTCGACAAAAAGCGAGCCAATTTTTTTTTTTGTAGGCCACTTTGTTGCTCTTTTTATGAGTTTTTTCCATTGTCCATTGTCGGTTTTTTCCTCGGCGGGCTGCGATCCTCGTTGGTGCCCTACAAACATCCTAATTACGGCAGTTAGTCGTTGTTCCCGAAGGGAACTGCATGGGACTACAGTTTATTACGCGCTCGAATTTCCACTAAAAATTGGACCGAAAAAAAAACTAGGTAGAGTCCCGCAGGGGCGAGCCTTTTTATTGGTGCACCTTCGGCGGAACTGAGAGCGCGACGACCGCAGGACAACGGCGAGCGGCGAGCGGCGAGCGACGAGCGACGAGCGGCCATGGCCACGACCTCGCCAGCATTAGAAAAGTAGATCAGTTTTTTGTTCTAATTTTTGTGCCCTGCTCTCCTTATGCCTTATGCTTTATGCTTTATGGCTTATGGTCCATTTCCATTTCAATTTTCATTTCCCCTGGCCATTGTCTGGCCGCAAAACAAACTCTGGACGGGAATTATGGTGTTCACGATATATGCAGATTTTTATGGGCTCTCTCGGGTGATCTAGTTCGCGGAATGGCCACGTATCCTGTAGCGCTGGGACCTCGACCGGGCCCTCGGGGCATGTATTAGGAAAGTAGATCAAGTTTTTTGTTTCCTTTGTGCGCTTTTTTCGCTGCGCTACTTTTTTTCCCCGAACGCTGCAAACTGCTCTAATTTTTTAATTCTTCACGGGTTTTTATTGTGCTCCTGGAAAAACTGCCAGGACCACAAGCACAAGGTTAGGTTCGTTCCATTTACCTGTTAATTGTGGCCATAACTCACATTTACATTCAGTGCTCTCATTTTTAAGATGCTCTTCCCTCTGTATTCTTTTTCCGCTTCGGCATTCATATTTTTATGAGCCATGTTCCTCGAGCATAAATTATTTGAATTTGTTTTTCCATTTGCTGCGAAACTGTCCATTATTGGAAGACTCTGCGGCGTTCCAGGGGACTCAGTTGTAGCTCCTTTTGGGGGTGGAACTGAGCATCTCCCGGGGGATACTCGTACAGGGTGGAGAGTCTCGTCTTAAGTCTGTGTCTTGTCTGTGGCATAAACTTGGCCTTACTTTTGGGTTGATTGTTGTGATTTATTCATGGAATTTCTACAACTATAAAAAACACACAAATAAATGTAGTATTATTTTACAGAGTTTATCCATAGAAAGGGGCACAATTATTTCCACTTAGATTCTGCTCTCCATTCTGTTTATTTATGCAAAAAAACAATAAATATGTGTAATTACTTTATTGCGCAAATTACTCAACACGCAATCATCGCAGTACAATTTGCTCGGCATTTTTATGGCCAATTTTTGCACAGACACACAGCACTCAGCACACACAACGCACACAGAGAGTCCTATGTCCATGCCTTTTGCCAATTCTGTTACCCGTCTCCTCTCCTCTCCCTCCCCTCCCTGTGTATTCGCCATTTACTTCCCATGATGACGGACATAATCAGCGAGATCGGATCGGCGCTTTGTGCGTGCAAAATGTGCAATAAAGCAGCAACAACGGGAGGAGCGGATCCTGGCGGAGGCTTCCCGGTATTCCGCAGCGAAAGGCCAGAAAGTGTTTGTGGATTGAGTTGAGTCGTGGATCGGGTGACAATGGAATGGGCAGGTACACACTGCTCGACACTTTCGCCTGGTGAAAGGTCTGTCCATAAAGGGTATTTACTGTCGCTGCCGCAGTGTCGCCTGAAGCTATGGCTATGGCAATGGCTGGTTGAAGTTGCAACTCAACTCAAACTCAACCCAACCCAACCCAACCCGAAAAGGGACACTCTCGCGGACACACAGAGTCAAAGACAATGGTGGCACAATAGGCAAGGTTGTGGGTAGGGTTCTGGCCGGATCGGATCGGATCGGGAAGGCTTGCACTGGGCCTTTTCCCAGTGCGGCCAGGAGAGGAGATCGCTCCAGGTAGAGGAGTAGAGCCTCTGGCGAGTTAATGCTAATGCAAATTGCGGCGCAATATAACCCAATAATTTGAACTAACTCGCAATGCCCAGAGGATGCAGCGAACGAGAGCAGAGAGTGAAATGTTGCAGGAAGGATGCAATACTCGGGATTGGAATGCATAACAATGGGCAAGGACCGGGGTTCCGCGGAGTTCCTTGACCATTCCTGGGCGATGGTGTTCCCTCTGTGTGCTCTGTGTTAATCCGTTTGCCATCAGCAAGATTATTAGTCAATTTTCATATTTCCAGTCGCTGCTTTTGGTTTCACTTTCCTTCACTTCTTCTTGCCTCATGTGGATGCCCCTGCCCACGCCGACGAGTTAGATTTTATTGCAGCATCTTGAACAATCAACTGGCGACTGGCAACATGCTGCGCGGCCAGGGTTAGGAGATTGCTCTACTTTCGCCTCAATTGAATCGAATGGTTCGGCGGAATTCGTTGCGAGGGTCCAAGGGTTGTCTCTCCGTCACTCCGCCGCTATTCGCTCAGGAGTTTCCACAGTCAACGCTTTTGCTGGTTTGTTTATTTGTTTGTTTGTTTCTAGCCCAGGATTAGCCGAGGGCTTGACTTGGAACCCAGCCAAAGCCAAGGGCTTTGCGCGACAGATCCTTAGCCCTATCTTGATCCCTAAACCGATCCCATTTGGCAATTTCATTAGAAAGTCATAAAAACAC